AGTAGCTGCTCAATCACGAACCAGAAGCCCTCATTATCAGTTAGGAATAGTCATTGAAGTAACTCTCCAGCAGAGGAAGAAGCGTACACGCTGAACAGAGACTCCTTAACAGTGGACGCCCTGGACGAGTTTGTGGGACGTCGGCAAGGCCAATCGATGTGTAACTAATTCCCGGCAAGTAATCGTGATTGCAGTAGTTGCAATAATCACGCGTCTCTAGTTTCTTTATCTCGCCCTTCCGAGTGGCGAAAGTGGTATATTTTCTGCGACTGCAGACGACGATGCAAAATGCATGGAGGCTTCGCGGACCTCTTGATTGTGGGAACTGTCTTTAAGTGAAGATTACAGTGGACAGGGCGCTTTTAGATCTAGCAAGAAAAAAGTTATGTCGAACGGTATACCCGGTCATATCAGCAACAACCACCCATTGGTTGCGAACACAAAACTGAAAGGGAAGAGGCTTGGGCACTTCAGGTGAACATTGGTTTTCTACTCGAGACTTCTCAAGCCACGCATTTCCTCAGTAAATGTAGCCCTCATCACTGACAATAGAACTTCTACTAATAAACAAACCACGTACCTCACCGAAAGCCCATATCGCATTGTTGCAGACAGATATGTGCGACGGGTCGAAATTCATTGCCAAAATAGGTATGAATGTCTCTGAAATTATGGCAGCCAATTATAATTGTACTTCACGAACCACAATTCCTTTACATAAGAAGCAAACTAAAGAGCATTTCGCTCGACAGTAATACTTCACAAGATCTTCTGGCGGATGATCTACATTCATTTTTGATTAAACTTACGTGTATAGGGCTTTATATGATGCCAGCAAGCTTTTGTAAGATCGCCAAGCAAAGCAAAACTGCTCTGTCGAACTTCAGGTGTTGGGTCCTGGAAGAAAATGTGGAGATTCACTTGCAAAGAATTGTGGGGGAAAGTTCACTTGAAAAGTACTGTTGCTCATCCAGGTGAATTCCGAAGCTCACCACTGCCATCAAACAGCGAACTACAGTTGCTGAGAAACTTCATTACGATCCAACTAAACGTGCTTCAATACGGTGAAGAGCAACGCAAAACATATTCCGCTAAGTCACTCCAGACAGCAAATCCAGCAATCGGGGCACACGATATTACGCTAGTCCGTATCACCTCGGATATGGTCTATGTGTTTCAGATACCAAAGTAACTATTTTCTAAAATTCCTTGTCTGCATCTTCCACTCATTAAGAGGTCGCTGCCTGTGCCTCAGAAATCGCTGGACCGTATGATAGATTACGTAAAAGTATGTGCCGTTTATGAGAGTGATGCACTCTTAAACGAGCAGAAATGGAATTATATCTCACGCTGTTGCAACCTACACAACGCAAACATAAGAGACTATAAGGAAAATATTCGCTAAGAAACAAGTAATCGGTACTCGCGTAAACTTGGTTTCGCCAGTAGCGGTAGGGAAACAGCCATACCCATGGCCTGATGCACGCTGAACGCACGCACTTCCATAGCGTAAGAGGATAACAGTTCCATTTTAATCAACACCATGATAATGAGAAAAAACATTTCATTGTGAAATACGAGCGAGTGCGTAAGCTGACAACGATAATCAAAAAGACGAATCAAACATACTGTAGAGAAATCCAGTCACGCGGAGCTTGTTTTTGAGTGTTGTAAATTGCTGTCTTTACGCCGCAGGGCGCGCTCGAGTATCAGAAACGTGTTGAGTTATGGGCAAAAGTCAGACCCCAGAGGGAACTCGAACCCGCATCTCCCGCTTACTGGGCGTTTGCGCGATCCATTTCACTGCAGTGGCCGCTCTTACAGCTCAAAACCTTTTTGTGCTATTGTCCTGTCGCACTCACACGTCTAACGTGTGAGCCGGTTAGTCGATATCAGTTCGCACCTGAAACCGCAATGAAGGCTAAAAGTTTGTACAATGTTCATAAGTTGCGTGCAGTCCGAGCCTCTTTGGGGACGCTTTTTTGACATTGTGTCGAGCGACCATACTTTTGTCAGCACTCTTCTGATCACCAGGTGGACTGTTGAGAAAATTGGCTTGTTTATTGGATGGTAAGGCAGTACGGGTTGACTTCGTGGTCTTTGAGCGGACCAGAAGGCATGAAAAGAACAAGCACGGTCCTCAGAGGCGTGAATCCTACAATTTTTGGGATCCAAAAAATAAACAAACGAAGTAACCACCATCCACCTTGTCATCGTTTCCCAGCCTCTGCCATTTCTCCATGAGTGGAGGCATCAGTACTTGCACATACATGGGCTCACTCAAAGCGTTGCCAACAGAATTCGCCAGCGTTCCCACAGCATCGTACAAAATCAGCAAGTTCTTGGCCTGAAAATTGTTAAAGGAATTATACTATGCGGCCACAACACCACTTTAGACAACAAAGCATTTGTTCTTGAGGATGAAAAAACTCCTAATGGAAAACTAAAGACGAAACTGGACTGGGATCGAGGGGTAAACACCCACCTGATAGATTCCAAAAGCCTGCACCAATGTCTGCAAGATGTCAGAAAGGTAAGGTGCGATGAAATCTCCACCTTCTTCCTCCACCGTTGCAAAAGCGCTGCAAGCGGCTTCTTGCACACGTTTGTTGCCGTCGAGGACTCGTACAAGAAGCTGAAAGAAAGAGCAATGATGATCCTTGCCACTATTCACGAACACAGTAGTTCGATTCACTTACACCCTTGAGAGTCGGCTCGAAGTACTGCTGACGTGCCTCATCCACTACCCATGAACAATACCGCGACAACGTCCAGCATGTGATTGACCTGAAACAACACCAATCGAAAAGGTGACTCCATTGCTGCAGTGTCTGGACCACAAACCGGACAAGTGGCTTCTTGTCGTCCAGCATATTCAGAAGGAAGGGAATGAGTTCGTGTAAATGAGGGGTGATGCCGTTCATACAGCCTTCAGCAACTGCACCAAGTGCGAGAATACCTGATTCTTTCACCTGAAATTTTTTTATGATTACTGATGCGTTTAACGCCGCAATTCACGCTCCGAAAATTACAAGAATACTGAGTTATGGGCAAAAGTCAGGCCCCAGGCAGGACACACACCGCACACCACACTTCCCGGGCGAGTGCGCTATCCGTTGCGCCACTGCGGTCGCTCTTACTATTTCAGCTCATAACTCATTATTTCGGTGAAAACACTTTAATTTCTAAACGGAATCGAGAACAGGAAGGAAACTTTTAACTATCGAACTGGCAATGACAGGCTCACCTCCCATTCTGGATGGGAAAGCGCATCTCTGAGTATTGGGAGAAGTATCGGTAACAACTCCATGGCGCTATGAAAATTGAAGGCGCAAACAACGTCGCAGCGAAGCCGCAGAACACCGTCCTGAAAATGTGTTACTCAAGCGAGTTCAAGGTTGGGTTGCAGATGAGACCGATAAACTCACGGATGTTCCACTCAGCATATGTCTCATCATTGCCATCGTCATCGACATCCTAGAAAAATAGATGCATTAGAAAGGAACAATATCGATAGGAAGATATTAGTGTTTCCAAACATTTTTTGCGCCGACCGAGAGATCACAAAAAGAGAAACAAAAAAAAGAAAAGAAAAAACAAGCCAAGGAGTCCACTTCATAAAAGCTGGCTTCAAGAAGAAATAGGCGAGTGACCCAGAAAGCATGGACAAAAGAAACTCAGGGCTCCAGAAGGTATATTTTTATGCTCCAGAATTGAAGGTAGGGCCCCAATGTAGAATGTCAAGGTGTTCACGAACGTGAAGTATTCTACGCAGGTTTCGATCCGCGATAATAAATACGAGGAGCAAAGATGTCAAAGGATGTGAATTGAAGTTCGAAGGGGCTATACTTTGCGACTCGAGAGAATCGGCCTCTTAGAAGAATGCACGAAAAGGATAGTGTAGGTACCGATCTGACGTTTCTACCGGGACGGAAAGTTACGATATCAACAGGGACCCAAACACAGGTTCTCCCGAAACCCCAGTTCTCCCGAGTTGCAAAAAATGAACGAAGCAAGTGCACCACAGAGCTCCCTTATGGCAGAAATATTATTTCGACAAAGAAAGCGCGCAATTAGGCTCACCGGTGAGGAGCATTTCTGTGAACTCATATAAAGTCCTTTAAGGTACAAAATGAAAGGAATCCATTCAAAAGCGTTTTTGCTTACAACTGCTCACCCACCCTTGAGCTACTCCCCGTAGGTTGTACGAATATTCTCATCCTTCTAGCTAAAAATCAGTTCTTTGTTCCTTCACGACTTAGATGCCATCCAACTCATAAAAAAAACAAGGAAGGGATAAAGTTGCAGGATTTTGTAACTTTCCAAAAGATTGCACCTCTACACTATGGCCCTCCTAGGGTTTATATGTCTCCACAAAATAGTTTGCACACTAGAGCCAACTGAACGTCTTTCCCCCCTCTAAGCCAAAGCGCGCTAAAGAAGGTGAAGAATTATGACAAGAATTTCATATTGGGCACTACAGCTCTTTGAAATTGGGCATGAAAAGTGGATCCGACGGCACTGTGTGCCTCGGAAGAGGCCACCCTCTAAGAATGATTAACCATGTTCGCCAGATCGAAGGATGGCAGAGGGTTGCTGATGTTGAAACATTTCACTGCCCCTATGAGAAGGTCAAGATGAGCAAATAAGACGAGGCTCAACACCGCTGGCGAGTGGCT